TTTGCCTATAAAGTCAAAGTAGAAAAAATGTTCAAAAATCATCCATTAAATGTCCAAATACTTTATGTTTTACTTCCCAAAATGGACTCTTAAAAAATTGTCCCCTGTTTTTGTTTTGTTTTGTTTTATTTTGAATTTATTGATTTTTAGGGAGAGAGAGGAAGGGAGAGAGAGAAAGAGAGACATCAAATTGTTGTTCCACTCATTCATGCATTCATTGGTTGATATTTGTATGTGACCTGACCAGAGATGGAACCCACAAGCTTGGTGAGTAGGGATGACACTCTAACCAGCAGAGCTACCTGGCCAGGACTCCCCAAACTTTTTATGAAAATATTATGTATATAGAAATGTTAAAAATAGTTTACATTTTACCAGGAATATTTTACTATATTAGTTTTATCACAAAATATATATTTATATATAACTATCACTTTATTTTATATTTTATAAATAATGTACATACATCAATATACTTTATTCCCAACATTTCAGAATATGTGTCATCAAAGGGAAACTGAGTTTTCCATTTATGTTGTGGAAGATTCAAAGCCTGCTAAGCCATAAAAATCGATTGGTAAAAGAGTAGATGGGAAACTCTAGTACTTCACCCACTCTGATTATTTAAATGTTACTTAGGCCATGGAGCAGTATCTCAAAGCAGAGCAATAGAGGAAACATTGGTTTACTGTTAACCCTTGAAAGGCTCCAAGCCCCAGTAGAAAAGAAGTGCATGCAAAGGAGCCCTACATCTAAAAAGATGGAAGTCAAGTAGACCACTTTGTTTCTCTCCTCATCCCCTTGTAGAAGCTTGGGAAAACTACAAATATCTCCAGGATATTCTTTGTGCCAAGATTATAACCTGAATCTCCTCTTTACAGACAAAAGAAGTATGAGATAGCACCTAAATGTTTGCAGAAGAGTGAGGAATGACTAAGAAGGACACCAACAAGTGTAACAAGATAAGGAAGATAAGGAAAAAGAAGAATTCATGGATCGATGACCAGGGATGGTGAAAAAACCAAGGGTGGCCTTGGATCAGACACTCCTTCCCCAGTGAAGTATGAAATTCACAAATATCTGTGGAATTTTGGGAAGAGAAGATGGTGAATGAAAATCTGGAATTGAATCAGGTTATAGATGAAATAACCTGAAAATATTAAGTCGATTAAGTCTCAATAGAAGTGACTAATTTGTATGTTCTACTATCAGGAGAAAATGAGTGTTGAGAATGCAGAATAAGTTGTAGACAAATATATTTCATGCCTGATTTTGTTGCCAGAAAAATATTCTGAATAAGACTAGGTTTTTAGAGGAATTGTAAAAATGTGTTTTGTAAAAGTAGGAAAAAAAGACATAATAATCTTGGAAATATACGCTTTTGTTTTTATCGAGTTTTTGGAAAAGAAGCTTTTTGGTGTCCCATGTATAGAAAGATCCAATTTATATTTGAATATTTAGTTATGCAAAATTAAAGCCAGTCTTAACTGGAGAGGGGCTGGAGTTAAAATTCTGTCAGTAACCAAATAAAAGTGGAATGTTTTGTTTAAAGTTTTTTTTTTATTCCCCAAGCCTCCAGGAATGACCTTTTTCCAAGTGAAATAGTCTTGTCTTAGCTACGTCGTGTAGAATTAGGTGATGGGCCTTTATTCATGCTGAATATTAAAACTGCAGATGAGTAGCAGCTACCTGAGTAGCTAGATTAATGATTTAAGGAGGGGGAGAATAGAGTACATGACAAGGACTCATTTGTGGAATATCTAAGCATAAGCATCCCTTGAGGTTTCTCAAGGTTAATGGAATAAAATAATTTTCTGTAGTCAGGCAGGATGGAGGCTTGCATAATACAAATGTGTGCATCCAAAGAAAGAAATGTAATGTTATTTTTGGTTTCAGGATAATACAACCTGTCTTCAAAGGATAGTCTCCAAAATAGTATTCTCAAATAATTTAATACTGGGGGACATAGGTGATTTTTTTTGTCTTTCTTTGTTTTTAAATTATCTAAAACTAAACTGTGTTAATTTGCCATCTTCCAAAATTGATAAAAAGCTTACTTTTTAACTTATTTTGACCATGAGAGTACTGGATAAACATTTTTAAGGAAAAAACAAAAAAACAAACAGATCATGTCAGTCAGTATTTTCACTGGCATACCACAACATTTAAGCTCAGAATTTTTGTGGTTTATATCAACAAACATTTGTTTTTTATTCAAAGTGTCTATCCATATCAGCCTCATGTTGCTCCATGCACCTGTATTCCAGTACTCAGCCTCTATCCGGTTGGATCCATTTGAAGTCATTGTGAGAGAAAATAGACATAAAATCACACAATGGCTTCAAGGTTTGTCAAGAAGTGACATATGGCACTTCTACTCACATTTCATTGGCCAAACCAAGTCACTCACGTGATCTCTAAAGTAAGGATTTATAGCCCTGCTTCAAAGAGGTGCAAAATGGGAAGGAAATAATGAATATTGAGCAAATATTAATAAAACCCATCACAAGTATATATTCTAATTTAACATATAATAATTATATTAAATTAGAATTTAGGCAGTTTTGAATTTTCTTTATATACCATACACATCCTTTTTATTTATTTTTTCTAACTCTGTAAACACTTATGAAATTTGATATCTGGCCAATTACCTCAATCTCTTAATAAGGTGTTGCCTATCCAACATTCATTTCATTTACTACTGATAAGAGTGCCTGAAATGTTTTTTGTTTTTTTTTTCTAAACTACCTCTTACACATCTGGGTGCATGAGTTAATGGAGTTAACTGTAACTCCAAATTTGGTTCATGTGACCCTGGTCAGGGTCAAAGAGCACAAATACTTCATAACCGCAGTAGGACACATACTTGTCCACACAATGAAGGTTGATCACCCTGGGAACATCGATAGATGTCACTTAAACTTTAATGCAACTCAATCAGAATCAACCCTGTACATGTGTAACAGCTTGTCAGAAGAAAAACAAAACTAAAAATCTCTCCATATTTTTGGACCTAGCCAATTTTCACCATGTTCATTTATGTGAATTAAGTCAAAAGATGTAGACAGGGTGAGACCTGTGGAAGTTTAAAGAATAAGCTTGTTTGAAAATGAAATGGGAAAGGTGAAAAAAAACACACACAAAAAAAAACAGAAGTAAATGACAAGGGCCAGTTGTGGAATGTGTAGCTTGTGAAATTAGGCAATCTTTTCTTTCAATAGTCAGTTGGAAGTGAATTTTTTTAGTTACCAGCAAACAAAAATCCCAACTTGATTCAAATACTATTCTGAATAGGTCACATGTTTACTGAGTGATACTTTGCTGTTTCCACAGCTACTAACTTGTCATAATTGCCAGGCTCAAGCCTTTCTCATCTTTTTCTTTCAAATATATTTTATTGATTTCAGAGAGGAAGAGAGGGAGAGAAACATCAATGATGAGAATCATTAATCAGCTGCCTCCTGCACACCCCACACTGGAGATGGAGCCTGCAACCCAAGCATGTGCCTTGACCAGGAATCAAACCATGACCTCCTGGTTCAACTACGAGACACGCCAGCAGGGGGAGGCCTTTCTCATTTTGACAAAAGTACATAGACCTGGCTCCCATGAAAGGACAAAAAACAATTTATCCATTTATTCCTGAAGGTAAGATAATATAAATGGGCTTCGAAAGCATTAAGAAAGGCCAGTACCAATTTAATAGGATTCTATAAGTCCTAAGTAAGGAACATTGAAGAGGATTATTATTTGAAGAGATAACAACACATAATTTTCCATGTTGGGCTAAATAAATGAATCCTCAGATTTGCAAATCACAATGGATTGAAATAAGATAAGGGATACATTTCCACTGGAAATCTCCACCAATGAGTACCTATGTTTTAATCATAGGAATATCACTTTTCTTTATATGGAATGTGACAATGAGAATGATGACCTCATGTCTAGACTTAAGCTTTTAGCTCTGCTTCTGCTCAAAAGGTTCTAATATGTTTCAAAAATAATCAATCACATGCCAAAAGCTACCTAGACAATTATCTCTTCGATTTTCTAAACAATTTAAATATGAATATAAGAATATAATTTATATTCTTAATTTAATAAGAATATCATTTCAATAAAATCCTCTCATCAAGAGACACATCAAGTTTTGGGTGTCTGCCTTCTAGTCAATAATCTATAAAACCTTATCGAGAGGTCAGTTTTTTTATTGTGATTTTCAAAGTATTTAACAAATATATATCCTAAATCTTTAAACCTATACACTCTTAAAAATCTACTAGGGACATCTTGACAACTTTTATAAGAATCTAATACCAGAAAAATAAGACATTAAACCAATTCACCACCTAAATAGTAATCATTTTTTACTAAATTTTCATTACTAACATATTGCCTACAAACTGCTTTTTCTGCTTGTATAATTTTAAGTGTGCTTAAAAAATTAAAGATGATGTTATTATGTTATTAATGTGCCAGAAAACTAGTCAAAGGAGAATCAAATTCACATATAAAGTAAGATCACCCATAATGTTATGTAAAATTACTCCATGTAACAAGGAAAATTAGAAGACTATCAAATGGACTCATAAATAAATCTCTGCCTATTTCATATATGTGCTGGAATGTTGAAGATAAGTTGTCATCAAATGGTACAGTGTTTGATTTGCTTTTTTGATGGCCTGATGTTAATTGAGAGGTGGGAAGAAGAGGACAATGAAAAGGAATTGTTATTCTAGATTCAGGGTTATTAAATTTAACCTTTACTAAAATGTTTAATAATCTAAATAATCAAAAAACTGGAATTCTAAAAGGAAGGCAGATTTTTATCTGGGCCACCAGAGATACTAAGTTGTAATTGGTGATCACATATTATATACAAGACTGCATATAGGCTTATTCACACATCTTAATGAATGAAATAGATGATGAGGCTCAAGATTTCACTAGAAGTTCAAGTTTGTCTAACTCAGTCATTTACTAACTTGCGAAAATCAAGCTAGTGCAATCATTACATTGCATAGGAACCACTGGTGAATAATGGCCTGTATAGTTTCAGAATTATAGCTATATATTATGTTGCCACTAAAATGTAAGAAGTATTCTATTAGAGGGTATTTTGGCCCTTTAATCACATAACATTTATTGTAAATCTACAAGAGGTATAAAAAGAAGGAAAACACATATCAGCAATATTTTTACTTTGACCTTTTGGAAAGTCATCTGAATATGCCTTGGGAATCCTAGTTTATATATCAATAACTTATCTGGAAATCATTTTGTTGTTGGTAATAACCTTTAACTTGGATCCTATTTACTAATCATTAATTAGTCCAGAATCATATAGCATGATTTAATTAACAATTTAAATACAATAGTGAGAAATATCTAATCTAATAAAAGAGAAACATGCAAATTGACTGCACCTCCAATATGCCCCAAGCCACTCCCACCAGCCAATTAGAGCGACTATATGCAAATATACCCAACCAAAATGGCAGAAGGCAGCCACAGAGCTGGAGCAGGCAGAAAGCTTGGTTGCCCTGGTGATGAAGGAAGCCAAGCTTCCCGCCTGCCCTGGGTGGCTGTGGACTGCGCTTAAGGCCACAAAGTTTCCATTATAGAAGATAAATAAATCCCAGATACCTGCTTCCAGCCAGCCTCCGATGGGAGCTTGGGTAGCTGGGGTACGTGGCCAGACTGCGAACAGCCATCAGCCCCTCACCCGGGCTGGCCACAATCTCATGGGGTAAGGGTCCCCACTGGGGGCTTGGCCAGCCAGCACACAGCCATCAGCCCCTCACCCAAGCTGGCCAGGCACACCAGCGGGACCCCCACCCTAATCCGGGACACCCTTCAGGGCAAACCAGCCACCTCCCACCCATGCACCAGGCCTCTATCCTATAGAATAAAAGGGTAATATGCAAATTGACCCTAACAGCAGAGTGACTGGGAATCACTGGTCACTATGACACACACTGACAACCAGGGGGTAGACGCTCAATGCAGTAGCTGCCCCCTGGTGGTCACTACACTCCCACAGGGTGAGGTCTGCTCAGCCACAAGCCAGGCTGACGGCTGCCAGTATAGCAGTGGTGGTAGAAGCGCTAAGGGTTTCCGACTGCACTTTAGGCCTGCTCCCCACTGGCAAGTGGACATCCCCCGAACTTCTCGGTCATCTGGTAACTCTATGCTTAGCATGTTGAGGAACTGCCAAAAACATTTTCCAACATGGCCCCACTATTTCACATTTCCAAAAGCAATGTACGATGGGTCCAATATTTAAACATTCTCATGAATGCTTTTTAAAAAAAATATATTATAGCCATCCTAGTGAGTGTTGAGTGGTATTTTATTATAGTTTAGAGCAGAGTTACCGACTGTAGGTTGACTTGACCTTGAACTCCATAAGGGAGATCTATCCTATGCTCAGCCTTCACCCAGCCTCTGCCAAATCTCTCAGGCCCCTGGTAGGAATGGGCTCCTACACATGAGCAAGGATGGACTCGAGTTCTTCACTTTCACTTGACCTCAGTTCTTCACTTTCAAGTGACTAACCTTCCTAGTTCCTTGGGTGAAAGGATGCCCTCAAAAAAAAGTTCACTGGATCTGCCCAGTACGAACATAATTTTTCTATGGGCTGAGACTGGCCCTGCCCATTCAGACAGGCTTCCATTCTCATGTTGAGAGCAACTAAATCCCTTCTTTCCATTTTTCTGGATTCCTCCCAGAGAAACTCTCACCTTTGGAGGGTCACCTTAGTACCCTGGGAGGAATTTGATCTGCCTTTTGTCAGGAATAGTCATTTAGGGTGGTTTATATGATAGAAGGGTGTAAATTCCACCTAACACAGACACTGACTTCAATCATTTAAACACTAAAATTTCTCAACTCCTCCTTTGAAGAATATCCCTATATTATTATTGGTATGTAACTGGGTAATGGGTGTAAAGACTCTTCTTTTAGGAACCTGCATTGAGGGGGTTTTGAGGGACGGTCTCCAAGGGTACATGTGTGTCTGGTGGGTCAAGGAGAACCTAGGAATGTGAGTGCAGCTGGTGTTTGGAGCTAGGAGGGCTTGATTGGCTAGTGAAGAGATCCAATCATCTTTTCTCTCCCAGGATTGAGAAAGCCAGAGATGCCACTACCCTAGGAAGAAATCTGTGTAGGAAGGTCAAAGGCAGGTCAATAGATCAAAGGATAGACAGAGGCTGCTGCTATGGTTAGAGGGGGGAAAAAATAGAATATTCTCATTTTTTTTTCTATTCCCCATTTTTTTCCTCTGATTCATATTATCAGTGGTGGTTCACTTTAAAAGAAAAGTAGACAAACACTAAAATAAAATAAAAGATTAGTAGACATTTATTGGTGAAGTTACTAACTTTAATGTAACAAATTCTAAAAAAAAAATAATAATAATAAAAGGAAGTTCTTTCCTTTAGAAATAAGATGACAGAGCAATTCAGGCATATAATTAATACATAAAAAGTCTGGCCCTGACTGACTTGGCTCAGTGGATAGAGCATCGGCCTGCAGACTGGAGGGTCCCAGGTTAGATTCCATTCACAGGCATGTGCCTTGATTGTAGGCACATCCCCGGTGGGGATGGCAGGAGGCAGCTGATCGATGTTTCTCTCTCAGTGATGTTTCTAACTCTCTATCTCTCTCCCTTCCTCTCTCTAAAAAATCAATAAAATATATATTGGAGAAACCAAGATGGCGGCATAGGTTAACCCTGGAGATAGCTGCCTCTAACAACCACTTCAAAAAAACAACTAAAAGATGGAACGGACATCATCCAGAACCACAGGAAGGCTGGCTGAGTGGAAATTCTACAACTAGGAGGAAAGAGAATATCATACCCAGACTCAGAGGAAGCGCGGTGCTGAAGTGAAATACTAAGGTGCGGAGTGCACGTGGAGCGGGCTGGTGGCAGAGGGCGTGGTTGTTGTTTTCAATCGGGAGGGAGTTTCAGATTCTGAGCTCCAGATCCTGGCGAGTCTCTAGGGACCCAGACTCAAACAGGAGAAGCGGGACTGTCTGGCTTCAGTCAGAAATCGAAGGCAGCTTTCTCTCTAAGGTTTGCAGCGGTTGCTGGGACTCTGTGAGGCAGAGCCCCTAGGGACGGAACTGAGAGCAGCCATAACTGCTCGCTCCTGCCCGCCCTGTAGATCCCCGGGGACCCACCCCGCCCAATCCCTGCGCAGAGCCATTTGCCAGATAGCCTCAGACAAACGCTAGATTAGCACCACCCTAGAGATCCAGCACAGGAGCTCTCCCACTGCAGACACAGCGGACTCTCATAGCCAGTTAGCCTGGAGGTCAAATCACCCCTGGTATTGCCGACAACAATCAAGGCTTAACTACAACAAGACTGCGCACAAAGACCACTAGGGGGTGCACCAAGAAAGCATAAAAAATGCGGAGACAAAGAAACAGGACAAAACTGTCAATGGAGGATATTGAGTTCAGAACCACACTTTTAAGGTCTCTTAAGAACTGTCTAGAAGCCACCGATAAATGTAGTGAGATCCTCAAGAAATCTAATGAGACCCTCGATGTTATGATAAAGAACCAACTAGAAATTAAGCATACACGGACTGAAATAATGAATACTATACAGACTCCCAACAGCAGACCAGAGGAGCGCAAGAATCAAGGCAAAGATTTGAAATGCGAGGAAGCAAAAAACACCCAACCAGAAAAGCAAAATGAAAAAAGAATCCGAAAATACACAGATAGTGTAAGGAGCCTCTGGGACAGCTTCAAGCATACCAACATCAGAATTATAAGGGTGCCAGAAGATGAGAGAGAGCAAGATATTGAAAACCTATTTGAAGAAATAATGACAGAAAACTGCCCCACCTGGTGAAAGAAATAGACTTACAGGTCCAGGAAGCACAGAGAACCCCAAACAAAAGGAATCCAAAGAGGACCACACCAAGACACATCATAATTAAAATGCCAAGAGCAAAGGACAAAGAGAGAATCTTAAAAGCAGCAAGAGAAAGAAACTCACTTACCTACAAGGGAATACCCATACGACTGTCAGCTGATTTCTCAACAGAAACTTTGCAGGCCAGAAGGGAATGGCAAGAAATATTCAAAGTGATGAATACCAAGAACCTACAACCAAGATTGCTTTATCCAGCAAAGCTATCATTCAGAACTGAAGGTCAGATAAAGAGCTTCACAGATAAGGAAAAGCTAAAGGAGTTCATCACCACCAAACCAGTATTATATGAAATGCTGAAAGGTATCCTTTAAGAAGAGGAAGAAGAAGAAAAAGGTAAAGATACAAATTATGAACAACAAACATGCATCTATCAACAAGTGAATCTAAGAATCAAGTGAATAAATAATCTGGTGATCATAATAGAATCAGGGACATAGAAAGGGAATGGACTGACTATTCTTGGGGGGGAAGGGGTGTGGGTGATGCGGGAAGAGACTGGACAAAAATCGTGCACCTATGGATGAGGACAGTGGGTGGGGAGTGAGGGCGGAGGGTGGGGCGGGAACTAGGAGGAGGGGAGTTATGGAGGGGAAAAAGAAGAACAAATGTAATAATCTGAACAATAAAGATATAATTAAAAATAAATAAATAAATAAAATATATATTGGACGTGGAGGGAAACACACTCAACAAAATAATTGTCCAGGTCACATTAGCAGTTCAATGAGTTATCCAAAGTCATGATTAGTTTATTTGTTACTTATAGGACTGAATGTTCTTGAGCATCTCCAGGAAGGCCTGCAGGGATGGTGCCTCCACATTCTGGAAGGTGTTCTGGACTCTGCGATACACCATGAAGTATTGCATATACAGGCAGATGAACCCGAAGTGGTTCTCATCGAACAGGATGAAGACTCCAGGGAAGCCCCTGAGGTTGTCGAAGCCATCTGAGGTAAGAGTGCCCATGCCATAGAAACACATCCTGTAAGTTCGAGGGTAGTTCTGGGCTCTTGAGTAGACGCCCACAGGCAGAACAAATGGAACAGGCTGCTCCTCCAAAGCTGCAGCCCCCGACTCCCTGACGCTGGGCTGGGCACGGCTCTGCCATCCATGACCCTCGCTTTCCTCAGTCCTGTCTTCTTGCTGCTGCTGCTGCTGCTGCTGCTCCCGGATCACCTGCTTGTCAATCTTCCTGACCACGCAGGAGACCTCCCTGAAGTTGCGGAAGAACTCGCCACCTGGCAGCTGGATGCGGCGCATGAGGTGGATCTCTAACCTCTCGATGGAGTTGCCCATGATCTGGGTGATGCTGGCATACTTCCCATGGAAGCTGAGCATGACAATCGTTAGGCCGTAGATATCGCAGTTGCCTTGGAAGAGGCCTGGCCTGATGAGGTCGTCCGGGTGGTGCGGCGGGAGGTAGAGGCGTCTGGAGGTCAGGCAGTCATAGTGATGTCTGTCCTTTTGCACCAGTCCCGGCCTCCGTACTCTCCTAAGCCACCTTGGTAAATAGGTTGGGCGGTCTGTCTTCTTGCACTGCATGGTGAACCTGTCCTTCCAAATCTGCAAGTGGCGGTGGTGGGCCCTGCTGAGGCGGCCTGCCATGCACTCCACCACGGCTGATTTCCTCTCTGTCAGGCGAATTCTGAACGAGCGCTGGAAACGTATTGGGCCATGCACATGGGTGTTAAGGCCAGGACTATACATCCAGCCAGTAATGCATACACCATCCACCACGACATTCAGCAGTCCTCTATTTCCTCTATAGTCACTATCTAGCTGCCACAATCCCAATATGTGTCTGTATGGGTGGAACAGCTTCAAATAGACTTCTCGATAAGACATACCGATCATCTCCAGGTTCTGCAAGTCTTCAGGAACGCCAAACTCTTTGCGGCAGCGCCGTCTCCAGATGCTGTCGGTGTGCAGGATGCGGTGGAATTTGGTGCAGACCTGGGCCAGTCTGAGCAGATCGGTGCCGGGGAGCTGGGCGAAGATCTCCACCAGCATCTCCACTGGCAGGTCCTGCAGAGAGCAGTGCAGGGGCGGTGGGGGCCGCATGGGGCTCTGGATTCCTCCACTCCCCCAACAGCACCCGGCTGCCCTGTCAGCCTCGAGGTTATTTTGTGCAGGGGCCAGGGCCAGGGCAGGCTTGCCCTCAGCCGCTGCCATCTCAGCTGGGCCTTGGCTCTGCTGAGGACATCGACATCCCTGCAAAGAGCTCAAGCCGCAGATGCAAGCGCACTCCTCCATACCTCTACCTGTAACAGCCACCACAGTGTGGGCTGCTGCTCCTCAGCTGGCTTTAAGCTGGGTCTAGCCATGCCCCTCAGGGCCTAGCCACGCCCCCTCAGACAGGAGCCAATTGTAGGACTTTAAACCCATACTTATTAACAGTCCCCTCCCTTTCCCAGTGCCCCCTCCCTGTACTCCCACCCTAAGCCCAGGCAGTAACTAATCTGATTTCTGTATGGATATGCCTCCAGAGATATGCCTATGGGTGAGGACGGGGGGGGGGGGGGGGGGGGGGGATGATGAGGGGGGGGAGACGACATTTCACATAACTGCAGTCATAATATCTGGTGTTTTGTGACTGGCTTCTTTCACTTAGCATAACATTTTAAAGTTTTAAGTATGCTATATTCTAGTATATGGATATACCACATTTTGTTTACCCACTCATCAGTTGATGAGTATATGGGTGGTTTCCGGTTTGAGGCTCTTATGAATAACGCCGCTATGAACATTGTGTACAAGTTTTTTTTGTGTGAACATGTTTCCATTTCTTTTGGGTATCTACATAGAAGTGGAACTTCTGGGTCATCTGGTAACTCTATGCTTAGCATGTTGAGGAACTGCCAAAAACATTTTCCAACGTGTCCCCACTATTTCACATTTCCAAAATCAATGTACGATGGGCCCAACTTGTAAACATTCTCATGAATGCTTTTTTAAAAAATATATTTTATTGATTTTTTAAAGAGAGGAAGGGAGAGAGATAGAGAGTTAGAAACATCGATGAGAGAGAAACATCGATCAGCTGCCTCCTGCACATCTCCTACTGGGGATGTGCCCTCAACCAAGCTACATGCCCTTGGCCAGAATCGAACCTGGGACCCTTCAGTCTGCAGGTCGACTCTCTATCCACTGGGCCAAACCAGTTTCAGCATGAATGCTTTTTATAAAAAAAATATATTATAGCCATCCTAGTGAGTGTTGAGTGGTATTTTATTATAGTTTAGAGCAGTTACCGACTGTAGGTTGACTTGACCTTGAACTCCATAAGGGAGATCTATTCTATGCTCAGCCTTCACCCAGCCTCTGCCAAATCTCTCAGGCCCCTGGTAGGAATGGGCTCCTACACATGAGCAAGGATGGACTCGAGTTCTTCACTTTCACTTGACCTCAGTTCTTCACTTTCAAGTGACTAACCTTCCTAGTTCCTTGGGTGAAAGGATGCCCTCAAAAAAAAGTTCACTGGATCTGCCCCCTATGAACATAATTTTTCTATGGGCTGAGACTGGCCCTGCCCATTCAGACAGGCTTCCATTCTCATGTTGAGAGCAGCTAGATCCCATCTCTCCATTTTTCTGTATTCCTACCAGAGAATCACTCTCAACTTTGGAGGGTCCTTTTAGTGCTCTGGGAGGAATTTGATCTGCCTTTTGTCAGGAATAGACATTTAGGGTGGTTTATATGATAGAAGGGTGTAAATTCCACCTAACACAGACACTGACTTCGATCATTTAAACACTAAAATTTCTCAACCCCTTTTGAAGAATATCCCTATATTATTATTGGTATGTAACTGGGTAATGGGTGTAAAGACTCGTCTTTTAGGATCCTGTATTGATGGGATTTTGAGGGACGGTCTCCAAGGGTACATGTGTATCTGGTGGGTCAAGGAGAACCTAGGAATGTGAGTGCAGCTGGTTTTTGGTGCTAGGAGGGCTTGATTGGCTAGTGTAGAGATCCAAACATCTTTTCTGTCCCAGGATTGAGAGAGCCAGAGATGCCACTGCCCTAGGAGGAAATCTGTGTAGGAAGGTCATAGGCAGGCCAATAGATCAAGGATAGACAGAGACTGCTGCTATGGTTAGAGGGGGGAAAAAATAGAATATTCTCATTCTTTTTATTCTATTCCCCATTTTTTCCTCTCATTCATTTTATCAGTGGTGGTTCACTTGAAAAGAAAACTCGACAAACACTAAAATAAAATAAAAGACTAGTAGACATTTATTGGTGCAGTTATTAACTTTATTGTAACGAATTCTAAAAAAAGAAAGTTGCTTTCCTTTAGAAATAAGATGACAGAGCAATTCAGGCACATAATTAATACATTAAAAGCCTGGCCCTGACCAATTTGGCTCAATGGATAGAGCATCAGCCTGCGGACTGGAGGGTCCCAGGTTAGATTCTGGTCAAGGGCATGTGCCTTGGTTGCGGGCACATCCCCAGTGGGAGGTGTGCAGGAGGCACCTGATCGATGTTTCTATTTCATCGATGTTTCTAACTCTCTATCTCTCTCCCCTCCTCTCTGTAAAAAAATCAATAAAATATATATTGGATGTGGAGGGAAACACACTCAACAAAATGATTGCCCAGGTCATTAGCAGTTCATTGAATTATCCAAAGTCATGATTAGTTTATTTGTTACTTTTAGCAGTTTTTTCTGTTAAAATTTGCCATTTTCCTTATATCGTTTGCATATTGTATTTGTTTGTTTTTTTGTCATTTTAACATTGGTCATATTGTTTAGAAAACTTGGTATAAATTATTACTACACATAAAATTTCTCATTGCCTTTTAATTTGTTATACCTTTAAGCTATTTATTAAATTAGCTCATAAATAAAATTTTTTACAGTAGTATAAAAGATGACCAGATGAATTGAGAAAATAGACCTTTCTAACTCTTTCATTAGCACGATGGTGGAGAACAAATATAAGCCAATCTTAGTCTTACATTAAGATCATTTAATAGTTTTGCTTGCTGATACTTGAACTGAAATCTGGTAAATAATAAATGCTGCAAAACTCAAGTGCTGTCTTAACAATTTCTTAGATAATAATAACAAACATTTCAATAAGTGATAATAGAGCTGCCTCAGGAGAAACATTTATTTGAGGCTGTGTCATGAAGTAGTATTCTCATAAAAAAAAGGATAATATGCAAATTGACCTTAATGGTGGAATAACCAGGAACGACTGGTCACTATGAGGCGCACTGACCACCAGGGCAGACGCTCAATATGGGAGCTTCCTCTTGGTGGTCAGTGCGCTCCCGCAGTGGGAGCTCCACTCAGCCACAAGCAAGGCTGTCGGCTGCGAGCACAGCGGTGGTGGCAGGAGCCTCTCCCACCTCTTCCGCAGCGCTAAGGAGTCTGACTGTGACTCCCAGGCTGCCAGAGGGATGATGTCTGACTGCCAGCTTGGGCCTGAGGGGTCCCAGACTGCGAGAGGGTGCAGGCCTGCCTGAGGGACCCCCCCCCGAGTGTACTAATTTTCATGCACCAAGACTCTAGTAAATAATAACTCTCTAGGGTTGGATACATGGGAAGTTTATTTAGAGTAAGGTGCAGCAAAAGTCTACTTTTTAAAATGGCAAAATTGCCAGTTACCTAATTCAGTCCAATTTAATAAAGGCGGTTTCTCAATTGGTTTATTTGATTATTTATTTATTTATTTATTTATTTATTTATTTATTTATTTAATTTTATTTTTTCTGCTGCTGCTGTAAAAATTGACAAAAATGTAGTGGCTTAAAACAATACAATAACATTATCTTTCTATGATAAAGATTAGAGTTTCAAATTTGTCTTAGGCTAAATCAGTGTCAACTGAGCTGAGTTTCATTTGAAACCTGTAGAAGCTCAAAAAGCCTTCTGGTTTGCCTCCCTTGTTCACTTTCTTAAAGGATCTTGTGATTACATTTGTTCCACCCAAATAATCTAAGACGATCTCCTTATTTTAGTCAACTGATTAGCAACCTTAATTACAAAAGCATTCAACCTTAATACAACAGTTTTCAGAGAGTAGGACATGGTTATCTTTTTTGCTGGGAGGGGTAATCATAGCATTATCATAGTGCAATAAGATATACTATAGTACTAAATATTATGATGGAGGAAATGGGAATAAATATGCATGAGGGAAGAGCAAATAAACTAATATAAAGAAGAGTTGAGGGGCATCTGGAGAACCAAGATGGCAGCATAAGGTATAAACCTGTACGTGCATCCTCCCACAACAACATTAAAATTACAACTATAAGACAAAGCAGCTATCATCCAGAACCACTGGAAAGCTGGCTAAGTGGAAGTTCTACAACTAGAAGGAAAGAAAAAAGCACATTGAGACAGGGTAGGAGGTGCAGAGGCGCCAAGAACAGAGGTACAAAGGCACGTGCGAACCAGAGCAATGAACTCACTATGGCAAGACTCTGGGGTCCCAGACTCCTATGGGGAGAAACTGGACTGTCTTGCAATGGGTCCGAAAGCAAGGGTGGCTTTCACACAGAGCTGCTTGCAGGGATCATTGTTGCCATGGAGGTGTGGGACTTGGGGATGCAGAGGGACTGGGGCACGCAGAGGTGCAGAGTTGCAGAGACACTGACATTGCCATTGATGTTTGCCCCGCCCTGGTGATTCTCTGAGACCCCGCCCTACTCAATTTACATCCCCATCCAAGCTGTGCTCAGTGACACAAAGGAACCACCTGCGCTTTTGCAGCCAAACTTAACAAACTGCAGCTGGGTCAGCGAGCTCCAAAATTTTCAAACCCCAAACAAAGAGGAGAGATTTGCTGATATCGCTGTAGCTCCTGCTGGGTGGACTCACACAGTGGTTGACTTGGATAGTGGGTTGCATAACTTGACCTCTAACTGGGAAGCACAGGTAGCCACTGATCAGCAGATAATGGCTAGATTTGAGGCTTTGGAGGCTACTGTTTTGTGGATCGGGCAACGTCAGCAGGCTATTATTACAAAACAGCAACTAACTTGTGATGCACAGTTTACCCGAATTTGTGTTACTAACTTCACTTATGCCAATGAATCATGGGGTGATGAGCGACAGGCTCTCCTGGAAGTTTTTAATAGTAATTTTTCTCAGGATATTAGACCCTTAGGGAAGCAAGTGCACACTGAATTGGCAGGATTAATAACTGTTTCCCAAGAACAAGTGTGGGCACACCTGTGGGGTCGCCTGCAATGGCACCCAAAGACCTGGTTCTCTTCCATTATTCCCAGTTCCT